CCAATTGTAAGAAAACAGAATGTATGGTTATCAGTAAAAAGAAAAGCCTAACATGGGGACTACAAATTGAAGACATCAAAACTATGTTAGTCCACAAATGTAAATATCTAGGAAGTGTTTTAACAGAGGACGAAAAATGTGTCACTGAAATCCAAAGGCGCATTGGGATAACGAAAGATGTCTTCCAAAAGCTAAGCAAAATAATAAGAAGCAGGAAAATTTAATTAGAAACAAAGAAAAGAGTGTTGAACTGCTATGTAATATCAGTCCTCTTATATAGCAGTGAATACTGGACAATCTCCTCACGGATCAAGAAGTTACTTGAAGCAATATAAATGTGGTTGTACATAAGGATGCTGAGAATACCATGGATCGAATGTGAGCAATGAGGAAGTTTTAGAGAGTATGGACACAAAAAGAACACTTATACCTAATATCAGAAAAATTCAGTTGAAAACTCTTGTGCGCATAGTGAGGAAAGAGAGCTTAGAAAATTTGACACTGACAGGGCATGGTTGAATGCAAGAGGGGTAGAGGAAAGCAGTGCATGATCTGCCTAATGAGGTTGTGTAAATGGTTGGCAGAACAAGGATGATAGCGAATAGACAAAATTTAGTAAGAGCCACAAGGGACAAGAAAATTTGGAGAGCCATGATCGCCCACGTCCTGAAGGGACATGACATGGAAGAAGAACACGGACATACCTATGGAAATTAGAACATAGCTAATTTTATGATCGTTTGGATATAGATGTGTACGGAGGATGGAATCAGTGGACCGAATTCGTTGCGTTCACTTTCACACAAATTTTCTCGGGATATTTATAAATTTATCTTTTCTTCCCCTGGGTAGAGATCAAACAGCAGGACTGGGTGGGTCCTCTAGGCTAGGAGAAGGAAAAAATTGAATTCAAAACCGGTTATGTGTGTTGATGGCAACATAGCCCTAACCCTAATGGTTATGGAAATTACAGTCACCTACCGTGGTGAGGCTGTGGCTCTATACATCATTGGGGGTGCTTAATGCTACTAACGAGGACCAATGAGGAAGTTTTTTTTTTGTTTTTTAGGAAAATAGAAGGAAGATTATATTTCCAATCGGAAAGTGAGGTACATAATGTGGAAAGAAAAATTTTCAGAATTAGTGCATACTGAAAACAAGAAAAGCAAGAGCTACGCTGATCAATTTAGATCAGTCCAAGGCCTTCGATAGGGTTGACCATTGATTCCTGGAGGCTGTGCTTTCGGCGGCCGGTTTCGGTCCGTACTTTCGCACCTGGACCCGACTTCTGTATGCGACACCCGGTGCGCTGATGAAGGTGAATGGGGTACGATCGGAGCCGTTCGTATTGTCTCGCTCCATTCGTCAAGGTTGTCCGCTTTCGCCTTTGCTTTACGTTCTTGCGTTGGAACCATTCCTTCGCAAGTTAAAGGCGAATCCGGTCCTGCGCGGAATTTCCTTACCTGGGGCTTCCACCTCAGCCAGGTATTCTGCCTATGCTGACGACGTTTCGGTTCTTGTGTCGAGCAGAGCCGAGATTGACGAAGTCAGCAAAGAGATCAGTGGTTATGAGATGGTGACAGGGGCCAAGATCAACCGCGATAAGTCTGTTGGCTTGCGGTTGGGTGCGTGGAAGGGAGTTTCTCTTCCCGGACTTTTCCTCTGGACGGATGGGCCGACCAAGATACTCGGCGTCTAGTTCGTTCCTGATATCCAGTTGGAAAGGAATTGGTCGGATGTACAAGGGAAGGCCAAAATCGCACTTAATTTGTGGTCTCGGAGGAATCTTTCCTTGAAGGGGAGGGCGGAAGTATGTGTTTCACACATCTACCCGATTCTCCTTTACCGACTCTCTGTACTTCCACTTCCGTATACCACACTAATGTCATTAGTAAAGCCTTTGTTCTCTTTCTTGTGGAGAGGCAACGCTGCTATGGTATGTCGGGAGATCTGTTGCCTTCATCAATCTGAAGGCGGTCTGGGTATGTCTGGCATTGAGATTCGTCAATATATGCTTCGCATCGGGTTCCTAGATCGAATGTGTCGCGAATCGGATGAGGAGGGCGCCTTCTGGAAGGAAGACGCCCGTAAAACTTTCCCATCCCTGAGAAGTGTGCACTCGAGCGAGGAGGAGGCCCATCGTTTGCCCCGAGCCGAATGCTCCTTCTCTCGTGAATGTCGTATTGCTCTGAAACGTCTCTTATGGGCGTCGGATGGCCTCTCCAACGTCCAGGCGTTGTCTCGTAGGGCATTATATCAAGTGTTAGTCAGTGGGGCCGTGCGCGATGAACTGATTGACGAGCTCAGTCTTACGAAACAGGAGGCTCGCTCAATATGGCCTTGAAATGCCTCAATAACGATGAGGCATCACTCACTTGGCTGATGATTCGTGGGGCCCTCTGGGTCGCCAAAAGACTTTTTTTCAGCGGGCTTGTAGAAATCTCCAAACTGCCGTCGCTGTAGTGGGGAAGTCGAGACCATTGGTCACGCCTTCTTTCATTGCAAGGTGGTAGCGCCGTTGTGCAGGTTTGTTGCAGGTTTCATAGTCCGCATGCTGCAAGGAAAGTTCTTTGTCCTTGAAGCCAGTTCCTGTTTGTAGCAATGTGGTGCCGCAGATGACGAAGGCTGAGCAATATGTGTTCTTTTGCTTACTAAGGGTTATGAGAGTCGTGATTTGGAAGACACGTAAGAACGAATTCTATGAGGGCGTGAAGTTCAATTCTTCCCAACTGATCTTGTTCTTTAAGCATCAGCTTAAAGTCAAGATTACGACGGAAAAGCTGCGGCTCACCTCATCAGAATTTGGCAAGAGGTAGGTGACTCTTGCGCGTTTGTGTCGAGTAAAAGTGGCTGACCTAGAGTGGCATTTTGATGCCGGTTAGGCATCCGGATATTGTTCTTCCTGGGTTGAACTTGGGCAACCCATCCCGAAATTAGGTTAGTGTAGGTTTTCTTTTTGAATCTTTAGTTTTTCTCTTTTTCCAGTAAACTAAAGATTCAAAAAGAAAACCTACTAGGATGTGTTTGCACATTGACCCCTTTTATTTCTGTCCCTATTTTTTTCTTTAGTTTAATTCCCCATCCCCTCCCTCGTTAGGTGGTCTGGTGGATGCGGGGCGCTTTTTCGTTTTTTTCGCCTGTGTGTGTTTTTCGTTTTCTGTTGTCGTGTTTGGAGAGTGCGTGTCTGTGTGAGTGTTAGGGATGGATGAATGTTTTTTATATTTTGTAGGCCCGCATTGATTTCGTCCAGTGAACTGATGCTTCTGCCACATTTAAGTATTGTGGAGAGTTTTATTACTAACAATGATTTTGTTTAGTTTCTTATAAATAGATTAATTCATATTGTATATACTCATTGGGGATCTTTTTAATTTGTTGTTTTATCCCCCCCTCCACATACGACGATTTGTACATATGGGGACTATTTAGGATTTTCATTGAGACAATGAGGTATTATGGTGGATGTAGTAAGAAAGGCTAGTAAGAATGTGGTATTTTGGTGTTAGGAATATTGTTTGTATGTTTGGGTCAGTGCTTGTAGCTAGCTAAGTTTAAATTAAGACAGATGAATACCGTCCTTTTCCCCATCCCCTTTTTTAGGCCTTGTGCCACATTTTCTGTAAATTTACAGAAATAAATATTGTAATATGGTGTCTAAGTAGTCCACCACTACAAGTGGTTTACCTACTTCACGCCGCTGGCGAGTATTGTATTTTGTTGATGTTGTAAAAATTACCATATCATTTCCAACCTCCGTTTTGGTTATTCCTCATTTAGTAAACCTTTCTAGGTTACAACAGAGTTAATGTCTTTGATATGTACGTGCCGAGAATACCATGGACGGAGCATGTGGACAACGAGGAATTTTAAAAGGAAAATATAAACGAAAAGGGCACAAGCTTAGAATTAGAAAAAGACATTTGAACTTTCAGGGACACATACTGAAGAAAGAGGGCTTGGAGAATTTGACACTCACAAGGCATATTAAAAGCAAGAGAGGCAGAAGGAAAACAGAGTAACCTGCTTAACGAACTTGTGTAAATGTATGGCAGAACAGAGAATAGGAAGGACAGTAAAAATACAAATATTACCAAGAGTTACAAAAGATAGGAAGCTGTGGACAGCCATGATCGCCAACGTCTTGAAAGTACACGGCTCGTGAGAAAGATACTTAATTTTTAGATAGATCATTTGAGATTGGATTTGATGCCGTGTTATCGTAACGGGACTTATCGGTCCGGTATTTTATATTAAATAAAATATTGATTCTCATTAGTTATTTGTAAGAATGATTTGACACAGATTTTCACAGGGCTCTGTAGAATCACCAGAGGGATTCACCAATATGAAATTGGTAAATTGAGTGTAAAGTTACGCTTTATCACAAAATGCTTAGGATGCCACAAAGGTAAAGTTGGCAATATCAAATTTTTAATTTAATCTTGGATGCCGCAAAAGAGAACGAGCCAAACTTTTTGATATCATAATTTATCAGAGAAAATAGAGATTTTAATAAGATAGAAAACGAATTTTCCAGGCGGTGGAGAGTTGACTGTTGTGGTTCTTTACGCTTGAATTGTTCTTTTAAAGACACAGACGGATCTATTTTGAAAACAAAAAAAAAAAAAATCGTTACCGTTTTGTTTATTTTTAAAATTTCCCTTACAGCGCTTCCGTTAACACATGGCGAATGTTCAGACTAGCTCCAGTCTTTAGCGCCATCAGTTCAAAACCCACTCTGCTGCATCCACAGGATTGAATGACCCACATTCCGTATATATTCCATTGGTAAGAAGAACGTTTCACTCAGCTTATTCCCGAGAACCGCTACTATGTAGAACGAACTCCTGAGAGGATGCTTCCTCGATTGCTATCATCCTCATTCCCTTCTTATTCTATTGGTAAGAAAGAAGTTCCAGTCAGGCATCTGTTCCTCTAGAACCACTGTGTTGTAGAACAGACTCCTTCCGAGTCCGTTATCCACTACATAACATCTAAGCTTTCAGCACCTGCTATTCCCAAGTGGTCTCCCGCCTAGGTACTGATCAGGTTCAACGTTGCTTAACTTCTATGATCGGATGAGAACGGATGTTTCAATGTGATGTATCCTTAAAGAATATTCTACAGAATAGGGACAAATGAACACTATTTACATTATTCGGACTATTGTCCTCGATTTTGTCGCCATATTTATTACAACGTTTCGGCCGTTGTACGCTCCGGCCTTCTTCAGGTGGTTGGAATATCGAACTGAACCCTTTATTTCGCTCACTGGGGTAGACTGTTCTAGTTCGACATGCCAAGTTCTTTATGAAGGCGTTGGTTAGATCCAAAGTGTGAGTTCAATACCCGGTTAAGGCAGTGGAGAATTTGGAGAGGGGAATTAACAGGAGATAACTGATAACTGACATCCATTAAACATGGCACGGAAATGAGGTATAGTCTTCGAATATTCAAGTGTAATGTCAATCGACATCTGATACCTCGATCCTGTTCCCCGTCCTTTTCTGTATCCTTTCCTCAAACATGCTTCTTTACTCTTGCTCCCAATTCTCTGTAACCCCTTGCGTGCTAGTGGCACTCCTGCCTTGCTTGGGGTGAATTGCTTATATAAAAAAATATAATCAGTTCACAGGTGTGTGTGTGTGTTTGTGTACCGTAACCCCAGGCTTAAGTCCATATCACGTTCAAACATTGGTTCCCAGGTGATCACTGAACTTAAGCAACGTCAAACTTTGTCAGATGGGGGACCGCTTAGCAATACTAGATGCTGTAGGCTTGGATGTGAAGATAATGGCTCAGAATTGTAAATCGGAGAGCCGAGTTCCAATTTCAGATGGGTTTGTTATATTCACTTACACGCAAATACGTTTGGGAAATGTATAAATCCACTTCTTTTCCCTCAGCTATGGGTTAATTAGTAAGACATGTATCAACAAAATAATTATTATCATCAAACAATAAAGAAATAAATAAATAAACACAAAAATATCAGGTTTCGGTATTAAATAACCCATAGGGGCTGATATGCCGCAAAACAAAAACAATCAAACATAAACCATGAGGCTCGTAGTAGATATACAGCAGCCATAGCAGCAGTGGTTTGTCTAGGGAAAGATAATCTGACGGAGCCCATCCCTGTTCAGGCTGGTTTTGAATTCAGAGTTTTCCTTCTCTTAGACTGGTTGTCGCATCTAGGTAAAAAAGCTCAGTCTGTCCTGCTGTTTAACCCATAGCTGGGGGAAGATGGCTTCATGCCTTTCCCAAAGGCATTAGCGCAAAGTGAATAAACCAGAATCGAACGAAAACTGAACCCGACACGCTCAATTCCCATTTTGTGCCACTCGTTCTTTCCAGTTCAAAATTACTACGTAGAAATATTCTCATCACTTTTAGTTGTGCCGCCATGGATCGATGCATTCTTAGGCCTTACTCACTAACTCACTAGTCAACGACTTGTTCAGAAAAAATATTGTTGTCATTGTTGGTTTGGTCGCTATGTTTCGATCGATGCATTCTTAGGCTTTACTCGCTAACTCACTAGTCAATGACTTGTTCAGAAAAAATATTCACGTCATTGTTGATTTGGCCGCCATGTTTCGATCGATGCTTTCTTAGGCCTTCCTCATTGCTTCGCCAGTTAACACCATATTCTGACGATTATTCAGAACATTGATAGTTTTAATGTCACATATTTCGATCGTTGCGTTCTTAAGTCTTCCTCGCTGTTCCAGTAATCCACGACTTGTTCAGACTAATATTCCTATCATTGTTTGATCCTATCGCCATGTTTTTCCACTGCTTTCTTCGGTTTTCCTCACCATTCAACGATTTGTGTTGGCGTATATTCAGATCATTTTTCTTTTGTTTTTTTTGCCGCCATGTTTCGATCGAAGCATTCTTAGGCCTTCTTACTGCATAACTATCAACATCCCCAGACAATAATTCCTGTTTTTTTTAAATAAGAAGTTGCCAACATTGAACTTTTACCGTTAAAGAATCATCAACGTGAGACTTGTTTAGAATTGAAGGCGCACTGCAAATTAGCATGATTTCTCTTGTTCAACAACTTTGTAAATATCTCTTATCTCTGTCTTGTAATAACTCACGAAAGTGTTGCTGGCTTTCCAAGAACTGTAGAGTTTTTTTTACGAATAACGATGGAATTTTATTCATAGTTCTTTTAATGTTGTGTCTTAATGTGTATTCAATGGTTGTTCGGTCAATGTCTGAATATTATTTTTTCATTTGGTATTAATGGCAAAACAATTTTCATAAAGGGTGTTCTAATAACTTGGACCGATTTTAAATAGGAATTAAGTTTAAGCGCCTAACGATTTTTTTCTTTTTCTTTCAGATTTAACAACTTAAGTCTTTGGAAATTTCAACCATGGAAAGATTAGCAATCAAACAACGTGTTAAAGTTTCAAGAGTGCAAATGGAAAAATTGTTCGTAAATTCAAACAAACTGGGTCTGTGGCAGATGTGAAGACACCATTGCGTGCTCGTTTACGCCATTTAGCTGAAAACATTGCTGCAGTTTACGAGAATGTGGCCGAAAATCCAGACACCTCTATTCGTCATCGCGCTCAGGAATTGAACCTCTCCACAACAACGTTACATCGTTTCCAATTGCCCTCTCGGTTGGTCGATTATCTTGACCAAAAAAAAAAAAAAAAAATTGCGAAGTGCGCGAAATGCATTTCTGTTTGAACGTCCATTTTCGTAATAGGCTTTCCATAACTTTAACACGCTGTTTCATTGTTAATCTTTCCATGGTTGAAATTGCCAAAGTTGTTAAATCTGAAAGAAAAGGAAAAAAAATCATTAGACGCTTAAGCTAAATTCACCTTTATTGTCTAACTCCAATATTTATGTCAAGTCGCCTTTCTTTAATTTTGGTTTCTTGGAGATAACATACGTTAATGTTATATCAACGTCTTGAGCCAATAATTGCTACCTTCTTTTTTTTTTTTTTACACTTATTTCAACATTTATTGTCGTACAGATGTTAATATCTTTATATGCAATTGGAGGCACTTAAAAAGTTTTAAATAAGAATTTGTCAATTTTTAACAAATGGCAACCGGAGAAGTCATTACGTTCTTTATCAAAATTAAACTGTTTCAACTTGAAAGCTCGCTGCAATTTAGTATGATCTCTCATATTCAGCAACTTCTTTTTAAAATAATTTTCCCCTATATAAGATCCGAGAGTCCCTTGAGGTAGACGGTTACAGTGTAAGAGGCACAGCTTATGCTAATTTGTATGGAAGATAGCGCTTAACACTAGAGTTGAACAGGTTAATATTGTAGTGATCGGGGAAGCATCCCCTTGGGAGTCGGTTCTACAAGGTTCGTGGGAAGAAAATGTTCGATTGGAATTTATAGTTCACCATGGAATAAGGGTGGTTCCCTACAATATGCGTGACATGGCGGGTCTTAGGACTGGTGGAACTAAGGAGTGTAATTCGTCTGAACACCCACCGTGTAAAATAGTGTCAGAGCAGCGAGAGACTTGTGACGTCTCGTCTGTGAGAAAGGGACTGCATAGTGGGAAATAATTTGTCACTCACAAAGATACGCTTTTGGGCTTTATCGAGAGTGGAAAGTGGAGACTGGTTAGCTCCTGTCCATATATAATAGCAGTACTCCATTTTACGTCTGATCTGGTTCTTGTAAAGATAGAGGAGAGCTGGAAGAGTTTGGTACTTGCTGGAAACGGATCATTTTTCCAGCCTCTTTAGTGATGGATTATATGTACGAGTTTCACTTGAGGTTTGGGCTGAATTTAAGTCCCAAGATGCGGTCAAGTCATGGGGCCTCCCTTGGGTAACATCCGTTCATCGCAATTGGTGAAAGTTCTGGTACCGATCACCGATAGTGAAATATCACTAGTTTGGTTTGCGAGGCCTTGAACTTTGTATATAACTCTTATCAGTCCTCCCCTAACCGCTCTGTTTTTGTTAACTCATGAAGGTATTGCAGGTTTTCTAATCTTTTCAAAGCTTTCACGAGGAATAATGGAATTTTATTGACAGTTCTTGTAATGTCGTTCTTCTGTGTGTTGTTCGAGAAATGTCTCTGTATTAATGACAAAACCATTCCAATAATATTTACTGTTTCCAAAGCTATTAAGTCATACTGACCAAATCCAATATCAATATCAATTTCTTTGATTTTAATTTCTTGGAGGCAGCATACACCTCGAGCCAATAATTCCTGATTTCTTTTTTCACAATCCCTCTACCATTGATGGTAAAATCTTTATAGCGATTTACTAAGCGTACCTTAGATGCTGCATAAACCCGAAAGTATGGAGCACTCAGTGAGGGACGAACTCACTACTCAGTCGTAATTGATCTACCGAAACAAGCTTAGTAACCATTATAACCTTCAAATGGTTGTTTGTGGTCTTTCACGAAACTGCGCCGCACTTCTCTTCTCAAAAATAAAACAGCATTGCTTAATGAGAAGGAGATTTCACATTCTAATCGCAGCACCGGTTCAAATAATTTCCATCGGAACCGGAGTATGAAAAGTGAGATCGGGTACGTTTTACATCTTTTGTATGTGTTGGAATTGCAGATGATGTGGGAATATATTTTGTCATTTAGATGTTTTTTAACTGTTTTTGATGGAGTTAATCAAGTTTTTATTCACACTTCCTTGTCGGTACACTCACGTAGCACAGTTGTATGTCAAGATTGGTTTTACTATCGTAGTGCACAATTTCAATCGACGCTTTGCATTAATACTATCCCATATAATCTATACTCTCTTCAAATTATTCATACTAGAGATTGCCAACTGTTTATACCTGACAATATCCTCAGCCTCTTCTAATAAACTCCCCACTTTCTTAACGTTTCCCCACCATTCTGTTTTTTTTATTTCTTCTCTCCGATACTGTAAGCTCGGTTTTATTCTGGTTTACCCTCAGGTTTCAAGTCAGAAATAGCTTTGGAAACAGACAATAAATATTATGGAAATGGCTTTATCATCAATGCCAAATGGAAGAATAACATCCATAGACGTTGGAAAATCTCAGATCGAATGTCAGTTTTGCAGCTCAGGATAAACAGGAAGGAATATGAAT